CTCCCTCTGGACAAGGCGGGAACATAAGAAGAGGAGGTGATTCAAGACATGGGTCAGGAGACTTCAAGGCCGCCCCGAGCAAAACGTTTACCGACATGGTTAACCGATCCAAATTGGGCCATATGAGCCTTGCTATAAATACTGCACACCTTATCATGTAGGAGGTTAGAAGGAACATATGGACGAACGGCTCTCTCGCCGAATTCTTCTGTAGGCTTCTAGCTGTGAGGCTGGTTGGGTGGAACAACTAAATTCAAATTCGCCATGGTTTCCATTTTCCTAGCTCGAGCGACTTGAGAGGAGAGGGAGCCTCGTAGGAAGAGATTTGTTCCTTTGAAACAACAGGAAAGAAAAACTCATTGACTAACAGGTTTCCAAAAACAGAGGAATACAAAAAACATAGGATTTGTACTGTCACGTCTTTTGCTGTCTACATGATTTAAGTTTGCTTAATTGCATAATAGAAAAACAACGAGTTATTTCCAAATTGTTTGAGTGGGCGATAAATTTTCTATGAAATACTACATGACTCATTCTGACAAGTCAAATTTCTAAGGAATCTAATCCTTCAAAAATTATACTATGAAAAACCTTTAAATCAAAGAGGCCCTCAATGTTACTTGGAACTCGGAAATGTAAAAAAATACTCGTGAAATTTTGGCCATACATGACTATGCTTTGGCCTTGTTACGAAAAGTTTGGTAAGAATATTTACTCCTCCTGATTACCTTCATTCGAAACAGAGTACATAAAAGTCAGGGTTCGAATTCTCTGCCAATATTCCTCCAACCATCACAACTTGAGAACTTGGATCCTTCAGATCTATGCTTCTCTTCAACGCCGGCGGTTGTTGTTTTGGTGCTTTGTCATGTGGGGACTCAGCACAAGGACTTGTGACTGTCTACTACAATACGATTGCCTTGCTCCGGTAAGCGAAGGGCGATGATGGTGGCCCGCCTTCTGTCTGTCTGGTGTTTGTAATTGTCGTTAGATGGACGTGGTTTTTACTGTTGGTGTTCTTTGTAGATTGAAAGTTAAAAAAAATCACAATTTGACAATTTGAGTATATGCATTCAGTGTCGTCCTTTCCTTCCTTTTTTAATATCGCAAAACGCTCGTCGTATTTCTCCCATGGAAATCAGGCTTCATTTTTAATACTCCCTCTGTTTTTATTTATTCTGCATATTAAGTTTGACTAAAGTCAAACTTCATAAAGTTTGACCAAGTTTATAAAAAAAATATAAACATTTGGCATAACAAATCTACATGACATGAAAGTACATCCAACAATGAATCTAATGAAATCGATTTCTAATTGTATATGCTAATATTTTTGTTTATAAACTTTGTTAAAGTTTACAAGACTTTGACAAAACTAATACATGGACTAAATAGAAACGGAGGGAGTACCACGACGACGTGCGGGATCTAGCGGCGTGACTGGATCAGCGAAAACAACATGAGCGGCAATAAATGCATTAACTATTAATCAACCATGGAAGAAAGACGCGAGGCGATCGACGGAGTCGAATAAATGGGATACTCGAGGCTTCATGTGACTCGTGGCACTCATTGATTGAGAGATCTCCCCGTCGCCATCCATCACGCCTCGCCCGCCACTGGCACGCGGGGCCCAGGTCCTGCGGCCCACCTGTCGGGGACAACCTCGTAAGCTTATCCAGGCCACCGTGTCACGGGGAGAAGCGGTGGCCGGAGTTAAAGCGGCGGTCTGGGCATCTTCTCTTCCCAAAGAAAAAAGGAAAAAGATGGTCTGGGCTGCACATGGGGGGCAATGGCGCCATGGCCAACAACAGAAAATTCGGAGAATGTCAGCCCCGCCTGATTCGTCGGAGGAGATAACGTTTGTCTATGCGACGAGATGGGATTAGCCGGTTAGGTCTAGGATAAAAGATGGTTAGCTGTGTGATTTACGCTGCTGCGTGTGCAGCGCGGTCCTTGATCTGTCCTTGTCCTGTGGGCAAGCTCGTGGCGGTCAAACAGATGGGGTAAGTCGGATTTGGATCTCGATCTACTGCACGGCCCACTGGTTATGGATCTGAAGTTGTGAAGGAGCGAGAGAGCGACCTGCGCGTGTTCGTGGCGACGCCATACAGGCGCTGCCCCTCAATCTCATTGGACGGGTGCTGTGAAAAGTTTCCGCATCAACGGACGCTGGGTGGGTACGGAGATGAGATGGGATCCGTCCATCCCTCTGCTTCTTTGAGTTGAGACTCTTATTATGTCACTTGGGCTCCGTCGTCCAGGTGTGTATAATGCTGCAGTTTCCGTGCATCAACATACGGCGTCCCTGCGAACCAACTTGCGGTTGAGATGGTTAGGTGGACAGTGGTATTCCCAACCCATCAGGATTTGGATTTATTTCAAAATTTTCGGTGATGCGCTTTCAGTGGGAGGAGACGTTCCCGTCGACGACGAGGCGTCTACGGTGGCTTCGTAAATCTCAAGATGATATGTCAACTCAGTCTCTCGGAGGTGCTTATAGGGGTAGGGTTTGCGTTTATGCGTTTATAGAGGTGAGTGTATGCGCGTGTATATGAGCGCTTGTGTCTGTACTGATGCTAAAAAAAAACAGACAGCGTCCCCCGATGCGTGTTCTATGCGACTGCTACGGAGTACTGTATGTCACTTTGGCCCCGTCGTCCAATTGCGTATATGGTTGGATTAGCGCTGTTTTTTATTCCTCTCACAAAAAGATCAGATATAATATTACCCTGCAAAAAAAACTGGGATATTGTAAAAGTAACCACCACTGCCGCCATAACGAGCAGTCGACATGCCGCTGTCGCCGCTTCCCTACTGGAGTCGGCTTATTGATGACTGTCGGGAAGCCTTCGTGCATGTGCCCCTAAAGACTAGCGCACCGGAGCCACAATCCTCATCATTGAACCTTTACATGGATCTGAAGCATCTGACCCTAAATCTCGTCACATGACGAGAAGCTCTAACCTCCCCGC